ACGCTATTGGTGTTATCACCGTGGGTACTGACGGCGAGGATGTCTTCACCCCCATCATTGCTCCTGAGACCGCCGCCCCTGCCCGTCGCACTATTCATATTCCTGCTCCTAAGGAAGGTGGCGATGTTCTTATTAACATTGTTGAGGGTAACACCCACATCAAGGTCACCAAGCCTGAGCCTAAGGCTAAGGAGGAGAATGGAGATGAGGATGAGGACGACTCCGATTTTGATGATTCTGATGAAGAGGAAGAGGAGACTCGGGAGAAGATCTGGAAGGTTGGCAACCCTCTTGCCGAGGCCGCCATCAAGGGCGTCAAGGCTGGTGGCAAGGTCGAAGTCACGATCAACATTCTAGCCGATCTAGGCGTTACCGTCACAGCCCGGGAAGTTGGCGGCAAGGGTGGTGTGCGAGGAAACATCTAAGTCTGGAAGTGCCGGACTCAAAAGCAGGAACTTTGATTGAAAAGCCGCAATGATTTTATGAGTGGGTTTACAAGGGGGGCTGGCATGCAAAAAGCACGGGATTATTGGTATATTCTAGAGGACACAATAGAGGGTTGTCAGGGATGAATTGAATAAAGACTTTTAACATTCACAAGAATAATATCGAAACATTTCGGTGGAAGCAATCCGGGAAACATTGTTAAACAGTTAATCTAGCCAACTCTTCGAGGCCGTGAACAAGCTCAGTTTGACGTTTACATTAGACCCTTCAAATTACCTGGTTCGCATCACCCGGTAATCGCCAAGCAATGAGGTCGTTTCGCATATCATCCTCTCTAACCTCGCGGGTTCCCTTGTAACTCACTTCGCGCATTGGGTCGTTATCAATTGTCATAGTAGACGTCATGCTCGCCATACTACGCGCATGGTCGAGGTGGCGCTCATGGATGCGTACACCTTTGCGCCGGTTCGACGGAGTAACTGTAACTGTCGAGAAGCTCTTATCACTCGAGTTACTTGGTGTGCGGCGATGTGAGGAGCCAGCCGGGCCGTTATTTTGGTGATTGTGCGAAGGTGAGGCAGTTCTGTTTGAGTGGTGGTGATTATGGTGATGAGGATGAAGGAGGTTGTGAGTTATACGGCGAGTGTCGCGGGCTCGGATGGTATCACGTGGACTCATATCATCGTCGTCGTCGTCTTCTTCTCCATCAGTGATAGGGGAAGCATTATGAGGTTTAGTTTTCCATCCGTTACCTCCGTTGAAAATATCCTCAATGACTTCTTCAGCGGAGTGCTCATTCGGTTGCCGACTCCACGAAGCAGCGAGAACGCTTCGGTACAGGTCTTGGAGCTCAGCGGCGTCGCGAGGCTTAGATAAGTTGGGAACCGCGACAGCTATTGCTATATATTGTCAGCGGCAGGGAATCATATGGAAGAATCAGTTCAACTTACGCCCAGCGTCGTCCTCTATTGCCTCGCTCATGATGCCTCCAATACCTCCAAAGACGGGAGCCGTTTTCAGAGGAGGAGCTACATAACTCCGTTCTCCGTCGACTTGGATCATGAGGATACTGATCTTCAACGTGCTGTTGACTTTGCTATCCTGCATGAGATACCTTCTCACAATGCCATCCTCGACAACATCTGAATCACGGCGCGGCCGTGATGTACCACCCCTCGTCGGGCTGACACCCATACTGTTGCTACGCATACGACCAGGAGATGCGACATCCTTGACGAAGGCTTCGCTCTCTTCCACGTACTCGCTCAGGTTGAGGCGAACAATACCAAGGGTGACCTTCTCTGTCAAGCCAAATTCCTGTATGACCTCAAACTCCATGGGACATTCGGTAAGGTTGTTATTGCGGTCTATCGATATGCGGATAGAAGGTACCGCGGTGACAAAGCCCCATTCAACTCTGTGGTTGGCAATTGGACATTTCTGCGTGCGCCCGCGATGCTCCGCGGTCATTGAGTGAGAGAGGTGCCATTTGACAAAAGCCTGACCAGAAACGAGCGGCACGTTATTAAGGTCGTAAATCTAGGAAGTAATAAGTCAGGGTTTCCTCATAGAGTGGCTGGATGTAGAGTGAAGGATGTACCTTGAGATGAAGGTCGAATTTTGGCTAGAGATGAGTCAACCTGAGTTCGAGTTGAAGACTGAGATGAATCCTTACCTTACGAGCCTTGCCAACTTCAGGTTTGAGAAAGCCCATGTTAGCAAAGATTGTCAAGATATCCCTCTACCGATGATTCGCAATGCTCAAGTTACAACAATGTGAGTAAGGTAGGTATATAGCGAGCTCGCTTGAGCGTGACTACAGACTTCCGTAATGAGACTGCAGTGAGTGAATGAGTGCTGGTTGCAGTATCGGCAAAGTTAAGATGCCAGAGAATATATATACAAACAGCCCGCGTAATGCAGCGGAAATGCGAACCTTGTGGGGATGCGGCTTACTTAAAGAGGCCATCCCCTTCTGGATCTACCTCTGTTTGTTTGGCGTGGGCTTTGGCGTTGACTTTGACTTTGACTTTGGCTTTGACTTTGGATTTGGCTCTGGTCTGCCAGACACTTCCAACTCTAGTGGACTCTGTCAGCGACTGGCCTAACGATACGGGGGTCCTCTATGGCGGGCTGTATCTGACGGAACGGTCGCGGCCGTTTGAATGTGGAACTGAAACTGACTGTAGTCAGTGATGATAAGATAAGCCCGTGATCGAGAGCTGATGATCCCAACGTAAATGATGAGGATATCGTCATGTGCAATGGTTGAAGGATGGCCCCTGTGACTTGACGCCACGAGAGATGTAACCAGCAAAGCCACAGGAGGCTGATAGCCGTCCTGATAATCAAGAGTACCTACCGACTTACCTCTGTATTACTCAAGGGAGGGCATGTTAACTCAAAATAATTGCATACCTACCTAGGTAGATATTCATCTTTTTTAGATATCATATTCCCGAACGCTTTACTAAGTATAATCTGGCTGTTACACTCTTGTCCAAGCCTGGAAGTGGTATTATCCCCGTTGATGAGGTCCTACATTTGGTCTTCAGCTCCCTCGCTTCTAAAAAGAAAGAAAGAAAAACGCCTGCGAGTCATTCCAGCAAGGCTCGAGCCCGACCCGACCAGCTGGACCGCCACCGATTCATATGTTTCATTGAGAGCCATTTACTCCGTAGATAGGGAGAAATGGATTTAAAGGAGATCGATCTATCGGAAATGTCTCAACATCGAGATCCTACAAGGATGATTTTAGACATGATTGTATGGTTACTCATGATACATAATAACCATCATGTTCTTAGAACTTCTAACAAACTGGTAACAAGACCTACTGAATACGACTTAGTTTCTCAGCGCCCATGTTCGATTTTGAGCTGAGAGAGTAAGCGATCCTGGCAAGGTGAAATAGTCTGAAACAGAAGAGGAACAGGGGGGGTAGTTCAGCCGTCGAGAGAAGAGACAAAAGACAAAATCTATTCTATAGTTACCCATGGACCGAGAACCAACAATGGACTATTGCAGATAGAGCTCTCAACATCACGTAATATTCTCAACCTTGATAGTAAATTCGAAGTAAGAGTCTAGGCTAGCGGCACGATTCAAGTCTTTCCTGGTCATTATTACCTAGGTATGTGCCTTGTTCGTCTAGCTTGTGTGACCATACAGACCAAACAGTTCCCTCTCCTCCCGCGAGAAGAGATGACAAAAGAGACAACTTGTACTATTATGCACAATCTTCTCCCTTAATTCTCAAACGCCCGTTTCCCGATCTGTCCTTCGGCTCCCTGCCGCCTTGCAGGTTGCATCGCTTCCTTATGATGGCGTTCTCAAAAGAAGCAATATACCACAGTTATGAGACCTTGGAGTCCGATGCTTCGGTAAGATGTCCCATCGGTCACCTCTCACCATGAACCTTAAGCATATTTCACAACAATGTGATCGAATAAAACTGAGAGGTCAGACATGTAATATAGAAGCGGCCCTGCAAAAAGGGGGACGATCGCCGTTGAGTCCTGATCTCTTTCTTTGTCAAAATCATCTACTCTCGAGAATGTGTGACTATTTCTTTGTATGGGCTCCCTCGTTACTTGAGTTAGTGCAGTGAAGGAAGCCTCTTGCTAACCGCCAATGCAAGGTCGAGTTTCGGTGCCAACATCATGCTTGGATTGTTCGAAAGTGGTGCCCAAAATACGAAAGATCACAACGACCATGTACGCCTAATGTTGTTGATCCCCCGGAATTTTGGTATGTTCTCCGTCATTACATCGATCTGTGTCAGATGCATTGAGACACTAATAAGCTGATCGGGTTCTAGGGGCCATAAGATGTGTTCCAAATGCCAACCTCCAGGACAATTGGCAGAAGCAGTGAGGAGACATTACAGTGTTACGGGATAGAGCCAGAATAGACGATTCGGGGAAGCTCAGTGGCCTCATCATCACGTTTTGATCAAAAATCACTTTCTCGTCGCGGCTTGGTAACCAAGTAGACCCCAAATATCTGATCGTCTCAGCTTGGCAACATCTAGGACGATTATCTGGCGAATGGCGCAAACTTGATGGATTATTATACCCTTACTAGAGGCGTTCATATGTTATTTCGATGTCAATGTTGGATAATTCAATACTGAAACCAAATTACTGATTTCATTAACGATGTGCAAATGTGTCAAAGCGCATGTTGGACGTGTTCGTCCTATGTAAATAAAGGTTCCTTAGCTTGGTGGCTAGCTCTGAAGAACTGTCCTGGCTTGGGAAATAAAATCGCGTGGCTTCCAACTGATCTATTTTTTGCAGAGAAAAAAAAAATTAAATAAATAGCAAAATTAATCGACTGACTCGCCCTCTTCTGTCAAAACAAGCCTCCCTAAGTACCTACTAGGTAGGTATTCACATGTCATGATGGCGGTTCTGAAATGATGACTTCCATTTAGGGTCCGTCAAAGCTTATCGATAAAGCTTTTATTTTCTTTCCATCGCGTTTCGACGTTTACATTCAAGATGACCAAGAACTCCCAAGATTGATATCTTGACAACAAATATCTCACCATGGCTCCGGGATCTTCTACCGGAGCCCAATCTGGGCCGGACAGCAGAAAGCGAAAGGCCGACACATCGGCATCGAATGGCCGTAGGGAGAAGCGCTCTGTGGTTCATTCTGCGCGCAGCATCCCTGCACAGCCCGCCGAAGCTGCACTCAAAGATGGCGAACTTGATCTCCAGGCTTTTGTGGCTGCCCACGAGTTCGAGGTTCGCGCACTTGAGCAGAGCATGGCCACATCGAAAGCTGTTGCTACCAGTCGCGCCTTTCAGAAGGTACCAAGAGGCTTACGCCGCCGCACGGCGAGTCACAACCCCAAACGGGTGCCTCGCCGACTGCGAAAGCGAGCTTTCAAAGAAATGAAAGACGACAACACTCCGGTTGTCGAAGCCAGAAGGAGGAAACCCAGAACAACGCGAGCGAAAATAAGATCCGAAACAGCACGAAAGTTGGGAATATTGGCAGCGAGGAAACGCAAGGCTAGCCAGGCGAAGGCGAAGGCGAAGCAGGATGGAGATGTCAGTAAAGACAAAGCATTAGCTGTAATAGGAAGACCACCGAGACCAAAACTTCGACGAAACGAGCTCAACGAGCCTCCAAAGCCAAAGTCCAAGTTCCGCAAGCGTCAACTGAACAAAACATGGTTACCAACTCACTCATGGCATGCCAAAAGAGCACGCATGACTGATCCGTTGGAGCCTTTATGGCGGTTCGCTATCCCATTAACACCAAACGAAAAGATATACCGACCTACACATCGAGCTCAGGGCGATAGAGGCGCAGTTGTATGGGAGATGAGCTACATGAGCACAATTGGACTTTACGGTAAACGCGCTGGCATAGAACGTGTATTGAAGCGGATAGGGGTTGTTCAGGATTCGTGTTGGAATGACAGGGGAAAGAAGTGGAGGATCGGAACCCGCTCGTGGACCGGTGTTCTAACTCGGACAGTTCAAACGGGAGAGCAGAATCAAGTCGACCGAAAGATGATCGGACCATGTACTATCTTATGGAACCCCGAACCACCGACGCAAGAAGACAAGCAAGAGCTCAAACAAGAATCGAGACAGGTTTTCTTGAGGATCCACCCATCAGCCTTCCTCGAACTGTTTAACGAGTTACTATCTTTAATAAAGCAGGAAAACCCTCGGCTTTACATCGAAGATCTCCGGTTTGAGATTGGAAGCTTAGACTTGACAGGACCGGGATCTACAGAAGCTCTGCTAGCTATATTACGTACTTATCCGATAAAGGACAAGACGAAGACAGATCATACTGAACTTTTTCAAGGGCTGGCCGGGTTGACAAATGCGGCCACTCTCCCTGCTGGCGCAGTGTTAGGGTTCTCGGTGCAGGATCCCCGTCTTCAATATCCTCCAATTCGCCTTGAGGTTCCCGAAGACCCAGAGTCACAACTTCAACTCCTCGAAAGGATAACGCCGTGGCTGGCCGAGGATGGTTTGAACCCGTATGCCTTATTCGATCGCGACACTCGCCATGCCGCGTCCTGCTTCCCTTCACAAAAACAAATCGATAGACGACGAGCAAAAAATGCTCCCGGAACCACCTTGAAACTCACAGCAGATGATCCCCCGATCCCGGTCATCCTTTTGGCTTCCCGAACGGATAGAGGCACACAGAAGCAAGGTACATGGACTCTGCTTGCACCATGGAAGTGTATACAGCATCTATGGTACTGCTTGGTGCATTATCCCCTTTCTTCAGGGGGTAACCCACGATTCGCAGGTCTGAACGAGATCCGCCAGGTTGCCTTCGAACGAGGCCAAGCTTGGTTCCCTGGGGACTATCCGGGAACCAAGGCGGGTGCTGCATGGGAGCTCGAAGAGCGTCGAAAAAGAAAAGCGGCTTGGGAGAAACGACCAAAGAGCAAGAGAACCGCATGGGAATCACTTGATCTGGGCGGTGGGAGGAAGGGCGAGATTGGCGATGGCTTCGCTAGCGATTTTGAGCTGTTGTTCAATGCAGCAGGTTCACAAACTAGCGATGAGAACAATACTGAGGGCGCGATGGACGTGGACCAGGACGAAAATCCAGCTTCAACACAAGTATCGAAGCAACAAGAGCCACGCATTTACCAGCTGCGTCAAATCACGAAAGATGTTTTTGACCAAGCCGTCACTTCTCCGTCTACCCCTTCAACAATACCGATAAACGCTCTTCTTGGAGTCCGTATATCTCTAATCTCTAGGGGCGTTGTCACACCCTGTGCTCGCATCTACCGCCTTCCATCTCGTCCTACCACAGCTCCACAGTCCTCTGAAGCCGAAGTCCCTGCCACTATTCCCCCGGGTTCATTATCTACGCCCTCCTCGCTTCCCTACGATCTTCGGTCCCAATGGCTCTCTCAGGCCCGGCCGTCTCTGTCCACAAAGAACAAAACATCCAGAACCTCGACGCCCCGCGACTTGGAATTTCTGAAGCGTCAACTTGCTGCTGAACTTGTCTCTAAACCTGCTCCTTACCCCTTTTCGCCGGCTAATGAATCCGACATGAATGGCCATCCCCTTGTTCCTAACGCCGAAGATCTCGTTGGTTTCGTCACCGCCGGATCATTTAGTCTAAGTGAGGGGCACGGTATGGCCATTGGTTCAATCGCGATAGACAAGGTGTTAGACGATGTCAAGCAAAACGCAAAGGAAGGACGATATTGTATTGTTAGAAATGCGGGTGAGAGCGTCGGGTGGCTTGCAAAATGGGAGGCTGTCTAAATATGTTATGATTTAAACATCAACTGGCGTACTGACACAGTAGTTGAATTCTTCTTTTCGGACATCATGAGTGCGGTTGGCGAGGCATGCGTGCATTTATACCCATGCCTAAACATGATACATAGATAGGCATTAGTTTACCGGCCATGAGAATTAATAGCGCCAGGAGTTCTGAATTTATGGATGTTCATTAAACAGGGAAGCGAAAGGCGCCATTGACATTCTTGCCGCGGGCAAAGTGTCTTGATGAGGGGTCGCGCCCTTCAACACTATGCAATATAACACTCAAGCTTCTTCCTTGTCTCAATGCTTTTTAATATCAAACATTTCGGTCTCGTTGCCACTATCACTCGTATCAAAGTAACTCAATGGCCTCAGAAGAATACCCTGCAAGCGTCTCTGGCGGATGTCTCTGTGGCTCAGTTCGCTACAGGCTGACATTTCCATCTGGCCATGACTGGAAGAGAAGCGTACGACTCACTTCCCGTTTCTCAGATCTCATTGAACTAACCATCACTTGGCAGTGCTCAACCTGCCAATGCTCCCAGTGCCGTAAGAATGGCGGCTCTCTCATTGCATGGCTTCATTCAGTCCCTGCTTCCAGCGTAGAGTTCACCTCTCAGACGACGCTATCGCGATACCACGCCTCACCGGAAGCCGCACGAGGCTTCTGTACCAGTTGCGGCAGCTGGCTCTTCTGGCGCTATGAAAACTCCGAAAAGATCAGCATGTCTGTTGGAACATTTGACAAAGACGACCTGAAAACCTGGGGCCGGCAACTATCCTATTCGGAGGTCCATCTTTGGTCCGAGGATGTGATCGAGGGTATCACGGATCACCTGCCAGGAGAGAAATGGAAGTATGATAATGAAGGAGAAGGGGCTGAGAGGATAGCATGAGGGGCACCATAAGCACGTTGTTTTCTATGTGAATATATATTTCATCGTGTGTTTGTTTTACGATAGTATAGCCGGAAATGGTTCCAGGAGTCGTACTGGAAGTGGCAGTGATGTCGTCTAGTATTCCTTTGAAAATGGCTCTTTTCCAACGCCTGGTTAACAGCATAACCACTGTCTCTGGCAGTATCTGCGCAGTAGATCCCGTAGAAACGCCGCATATAAACACGAAATAATCGAAAGGCGCAATAAACCCAAACCTTTTTAGTCCTCTTCACTAATCTCACTTTCATCGCCATCAGGGCTTTCTTGTTGGCTGTTCTCCAGATTTTCGAACGCGTCCTCGAGTTCTTTGGCGAGATCGACTTCTAATCCTTCCTCCCCTTCCTCTTCCCCGTCTACATCCATAGGATCGGGCCCAGTCTCATATTGGCTACGGTTGTTGACAGGGCTGGGCAGCTTGAACTCAAAGTCTGGATCATCATCTTCCTCGCCGTCGGCATCATCACCTTCAGACTCGCGCTGATCCATGAATTCATCAAAGCGGCGCACAGACGGGAAAGCAGGCGAGAAGTCAGTCCTACGCGCTGTGTTGGTGTCGGCACCAGGATACTCGACAAGAAGGCCACCATCGTCATCATCCTCATCCTCGTCCTCTTCTTCGGGGGCTGGTGTACGCTTCTTGGGCTCCGCAGGTTTTGATTGTTCATTAGATTGAGGTACTGGTAGCGAGAGCTCGATATTCTTGGGGGCCTGCTTCTTCTCGGGCTTGCGCTTGACATCTCTCTTCTGTATGGAGGATTTGGCGCGTGCTTTGGCATTGGATTTGTCGGAGGCACTCTTTTCAACCTTTGTGTTTGTTTTTGATGCGCTGTTTGATGTGCTGTTGATGTGAGGATATTGTCGACGGAGACTGTCAGCATCGGCGTTACCAGGCAGTCGAGTGACGTTCATGTTGAAGGTAGAGTCGACAAGATCGAGGATAAAGGCCTCGCGGCTGGGGTCGAAATAAAGAACATATTGGCCACTATCTTTATTCCTCGTCCCTGTGAACGCATACTTTGCGTCGTTATCGGTATATGTGAGGTCGTAGGATGCCGTCTTCCCAGGGATAGAGGGTTTTATGCGAGCTAAGTTGGGGGCTGACTCTGACGATAGTGTCGGCTTGTGATTGTCTTGGAGTATGTAAGTATCATGGCACATCGAACTTGGAGGTTGAGAAAAACCTACACTTGATGCCGGTGAAGATCTCGTTTGATGTCTTGCCTAAGAGAGCATCTCCGAGGATGACGGGATAGTTGCCCGTCTTTGTCGGATCGATCAGGCCAGCCGCTGCCATAGTTTGATGCGCGACAGGGCGTGTAGCAAGGCGTTAGAAAGTGAGGGTATAATACTGGCGTTGGAAGGTAAAGAGTGTAGCAATGCGATATATTATCCCTGGAGGATATCCAAAATGTTATTGTCTCGAGTTCTTCGATTCAAATTGACGCGCGGGTTGAGGAAAGGGAAGTCCGGAGGAGGGTCTAGAGTCTAGAGCCCGAGAAGATGGGGCCGAGTGGACGGGGGTTCAAAGTGGGGAGACGCCAGCAGGGGAGTAGGCCAACAGGGTAATAAGAGGAGCAAGTGTACGGAGTAATGTCGTTCGGACCTATTTTATCAACATCGGCGATAAAACCACGATATTGTACTGTCTATAATATCCAGCAATTTCAGAGTTGAGATAGGAAATCGCAAAGACAAAGGCGAATATTGTATGCTTTCAGCAAATCATTTGTTTTGCACTAGGATCCAATGCTTTGATCAGTTGTCACGAGCTGACTTCCATTAATAGACTGACTCACTGTTTTGTTGTAGCCTGCTGAGGCAGTGAACCAGCTTGAACAAAGGAACTCACCAAGTTCCCGATTCAGAGCAACAGGGAACAAAGCACTTTCAAGTCCATTTTCAAAGCTCATGTGATAAGCCTTGCCAACAAGCCTGTTAATCAGCCTATCCTGTTTTACTAAATCCTATTATACGATGCCAAACTCCGTGCCTCCGAAGAATGGCCTTGAAACCTTAACAACTGGTTCTTAGTAGGACATAACAGTGCCGCTTTAGTTTTCAGAATCTACTGCATTGAATTTGGCTGCCTCTTGGCCTCATACGGCCTACTCAAGATCCATAGCCTTCTTTTTGTCCTATTCAAACCTACGGCTCTCTCCGACCATCGTCAACAGCTATCTGGCTCTGTCGCTACTCTGGTTTGATCTTTCGGATCTTCTGGTTCGTGCTGTCCATAATAAAGGGCTTCTCTCCAAACGAGGTTATAGAAATCGTATACGTCACTCAGAATGGTATGCTTACGTCTAATAAGAGTTCTTGACGGGCTATGAAAGGGGTGTGATGACTCATAGACGTGACAGAGATGGTTTTCCCATACTTGCAAGAACATTGGAATATAGCTCTATCTTCAACTTACAAAGTGTAGATGTCCTGCTATCCAACTATCATACATCATACATCATACCCATCATCTATTGTCTAAAACAAAAAGTTTTGAAAACACGGCAGATGGATCGCCAGTAGACTGTGCTGGCTTCACCAAGAATGGGATGTTTTCAGTATGCTTTTTTTTTCTTTTACGTGGTATTTCCTGTTCGCCATGGTATCAGAAAGTAATACGGATATGTCATAACGATGATACCGAGATGTCTTTACAATCAAGCCAATCTCCTCGGTGAAATATCACAGACTGTAGCAAGCAGTTAAACGCCGATGGACAGGCTTCCAACGCAGTTCGACTACTGGGCAGGAGAACATTCGAGGCAGAATCTAGCAACATTTGAGCTACGAATAGATCTATCTCCATTCAAAAAGCAAACTAAACTCATACCAAACTTATCAGAGTATTATGATACCTTAGGATAAGAGTCTCAAGATTTCTTCTAGATCATGGCCGAGTACGGGATCCTTAGGCTACCCAATGTTTACAACCAAGCCTTGGAGTCGGACATAGCTCCGGATTACCACACAAGGTAGATATGTGATGCTGTGATAAGGTTGTGGGGGGTTCAAATGAGGCTTCAGCCTCCCAATATACGAACAAGATACTCATCGCCCTCACTGTTGCCTAGGAAATATATGATGCACAGGGATATAATATCTGGTCTATTGGGAATCGAATATTTATTTATATACAAACTCTTTGAGTTTTAGTAAGAACGTCTGACTCCACTAGCCTTACTACTGATATGGGTCTTGGGTGATAAGGTAAGCATCCAACTTGTGTGAAGCTGGAGTCAAGGCAATATGGCGATGCCGTCTTGCCTGGGAAATGCTTGAGACCTGTTAGAATCTGGGCCTGAAACTGCATAGCCTGGGCTCCAGTATTTACACAAAGGTAGGTATTTGGCAAACATCCAAACTCCAAGTGCCAATGTTCGTATGGCTGTTTTGGCTAAATGATTTAATTTTGATAGATCTTTAGTGTGTGAGAATATCCCAAGTGCTTTGGTTTCGAAGTTTATTATGCGTGTTCCAGATCGTAATCTCGTAGTTTGTGGCTGATCTGAGAACTCATATTCGATAAAAGTCGGCGAAGTTCATATATGGCTCCATTAATTCTATATTCTTTATGCAAGGTGGCAGAGCAATGTCGGCACACCGACATTCGGCGTTTCTTTTGTTCCCTTGCCTTACTTACATCTGAGTCTTCCATACTTGATTGATTTGAAGCCATCAACTTACTCGCCACTCGGTGAGATAGATCTAGGCAACTCGGTAAAAATAGCACAGTAGCTTTTTTCCCTCCAGGCAGAATAGACTCTATTTACCTCTTATCCAATATTAACTCTCAATAAACAAGCCATTTAATATATGCTTTTATCATAAGTCAACCATTCCATATGGTGGTCATAACGTGCCTATGGTTTTTGATCTGCTAGTCTGCCTTGTCTGCCTCAATGGTGCATTGCTGAGACCCGTGTGCCAGTGACCGGCTGAGACGGATGGATAACAGACTTCCAACATCCGTTGGTGATGAGTCAAGACATCGATCAGCAACAGTGCACACCCTCATGTACCAGCTGCTCGGAACTGGCGTTGATCATAACGTCAACATCG